AATTGTAAATAGCAGAACTTGATTATCGAAGATTACTATAATAAGAAATAAGATATTTCAGGAAAATAAATTTTATTGGTTCATATTACTGCAGTCAAAGCAAGATAATCGTCAACTGACTTAACGCTTCTAAAGTTTCACAACAGTAAATAATTGATGCATTTAAAGTAAGATAACCCTTGTCAACTGACTTAATGCCCTAAAGTTTCACAATAGTAAATAATTTAAAGCAAGATATTCACAATAGTAAATAGCAGAACTTGATTATCGAAGATCACTATAATAAGAAATAAGATATCTCAGGAAAATAAAATTTTATTAGTTCATATTACTGTTACAGTCAAAGCAAGATAATTATCAACTGACTTAACGCCCCTAAAGTTTCACAATAGAACTTGATTACAAAAACTTATTAAAGTTACTGTCAGAAGCAAGATAACTCATTTGTCAACTGACTTAACGCTTCTAAAGATTCACAAAGCAAGATAACTCTTGACTTAACACCCCTAATGTTTCACAATTGTAAATAGCAGAACTTGATTATCGTAATAAGAAACAAGATATCTCATGAAAAAAAAAGCAAGATAACTCTCTTTGTTAACTGACTTAGCACCCCTAAAGTTTCAAGCAAGATATTCACAATAGTAAATAGCAGAACTTGATTATCGAAGATCACTGTAATAAGAAATAAGATATCTCAGAAAAATAAAATTTTATTAGTTCATATTACTGTTACAGTCAAAGCAAGATAATTGTCAACTGACTTAACGTCCCTAAAGTTTCACAATTGTAAATAATTTAAAGCAGATATTCACAATAGTAAATAGTAGAACTTGATTATCAAAGATTACTATAATAAAAAATAAGATATTTCAAGAAAATAAATTTTATTGGTTCATATTACTGCAGTCAAAGCAAGATAATCGTCAACTGACTTAACGCCCCTAAAGTTTCACAACAGTAAATAATTGATGTATTTAAAGTAAGATAAACCTTGTCAACTGACTTAACGCCCCTAAAGTTTCACAATAGTAAATAATTTAAAGCAAGATATTCGCAATAGTAAATAGCAGAACTTGATTATTGAAGATCACTGTAATAAGAAATAAGATATCTCAGGAAAATAAAATTTTATTAGTTCATATTACTGTTACAGTCAAAGCAAGATAATTGTTAACTGACTTAACACCTCTAAAGTTTCACAATAGAACTTGATTACAATAACTTATTAAAGTTACTGTCAGAAGCAAGATAACTTATTTGTCAACTGACTTAATGCCTCTAAAGATTCACAAAGCAAGATAACTCTCTTTGTCAACTGACTTAACGCCCCTAAAGTTTCACAACAATAAATAATAGCAGAGCTTGATTATCGAAGATCACTGTAATAAGAAATAAGATACAGTATCTCAGAAAAATAAAATTTATTAGTTCATATTACAATAGAACTTGATTATAATAACTTATTAAAGTTACTGTTAGAAGCAAGATAACTCATTTGTCAACTAACTTAATGTCTCTAAAGTTTCACAATAAGTAAGCGACTGACTTAACGCCCCTAAAGTTTTACAATAAAACTTGATTACAATAACTTATTGATGATTACTGTAATCAGAAACAAGATATCTCAGGAAATAACACCCTTTTCATATAGTATCAAATAATTTTTATATCTTTAGAAAAGACCACATAAATAAATTATCCAAAATATATATTCACAAAAAAAAGCTATAGTATACAAGGAGTTGAATATGTTTTTTCAATAATACAAGAGAAGTTAAAATTATGTTATTTTTTTTATTTGTTCATATATTCACTTATAACCATTTTACAAATAATTTATGAGCTGGCCTATTTTTAAAAATTAATGGAGACTGTGTCTCGGCGAGGCCGTTCATTATGATTGTTATTTTAATATGGCCCAGTGTAGTATTAATGAAGACTGTGTTTCAGTGAGACGTTCATTATTACTCAAATATTTTATAAATTTTCTTATGATGATATATTAAAGTCTGAAAATTATAAGAGATATACAATATAAATTTATTTAGTACCAAAATTGAGATTAATGCAAACATTTTGTTAATTAGAATCCTCCATGTTCATCTGTATCCATTTGTTCATCACCTTCGAGAATGATGAAAGCATCATGTTTTCTTAACATCGGTATTGTACACATTCCTAATAACAAGTTTTAGTAATTAAGAATATCATCAAATTGGTAAAGAATATTTTACCTCTTTCACTTAGTACCGCACTATATATTTCTACTCGATCCTCTAAATTTCTTATTTGTACATTTTGATTAGCAATCATATTCCTGTCAAGCCTTCTCACGATTTCAAGATTGTGACTAAGACATTGGTTTTCATCACGAAGGCTGCTGATTTCTTGTTGGTATCCTCTTAACCCTAATAACTAGTATTAGTAATTAAGAATATTATAAATTGGTAAAGAATATATTACCTCTTTCTCTTAATGCTGCACTATATTTTTCTACTTGACCTCGTAAATTTCTTATTTGTACATTTTGATTACCGTTCAAGTTTTTCATGATTTTGAGATCCTGACTAAGATGTTGGTTTTACTCGCGAAGTCTAGTGATTTCTTGTTAGTGCTGTTCAACTAGATTTTCAAATTCATTTCTTTCTCTATAAAGTTTTGTTATTAATTGA